TGCATACATTTTTGTATCTAACAATTGTGTTTTACAATAATAATGTACAGTTAAAGGGTATATCTTTAAGTTTAAATTTCAACATATGTTACACTCTTTTTGCCATCTCTTAAAGAAACCCTTAACCATGTTTGATATTATATTACCCACTCTGTGACGATTTCTCGTTTAAGGAAAAGAATTTGTCTGTGATGTCAAGGTCAAGCCTAAGTCTCTTTCTCGTTCCGTCTTCCCATAACAAGTTTGTGTGGGGAATGATATTTTAAAGGTTTGTTGCTGTAGTCAATAAAATGTCACAGCCACGGCCATTTGTGAGCAATGACTCCATCAGAAGCCATGAGAAACACACAGCTGACTTGCTGATTTTCACTTCATGTTCTTGATTCAGTCTCAGCATTCACATTTACCCTTGGAACTGTGGGATTTGAGTCTGCCTGTTGCCACAAAATGCTCTCTATTAAAAGTATCAGTATATGCGATATGGAGGAGGAAGCTTGTTGCTCATAAATGTAGCAGTAGTTTTCTTCCAATAGTGAATATTTGCTTTTATGGAATAATTAAACTCTTCTGTGGTGGAAATGAATTTTATTCACACACATTCAATACTGAAAATCACAGCATGCACATACACTGATTTAGATGATCTATAAAAGAAGTTTCAAGATCATGCTTGAATTATCTTCTTTTATGAAATGCATTTACACTTCTATATTTTTTCACCTACATGCAGATTATAATCTAGCAGATCTAACAACAGAAAGGTCACAATATCAGTTTTGTCCAGAATCAACTGGACTTGGTCTTCTTAACTTTACATCAATGCTCAGAGTAACAATTCAAAATGTATGAACACTGCAAATGTCTTGAATAACTCCTCATTTCTTTATGTTTTGCCTCCAGTGAGCCAGACTTTCTTTAATTTTTACGTGGTTTTGAACAATAGTTCTCCAGGCTTTTTCTTTGGCCACTTTTTCACTCATTTTCATTCATTCCAGTCCTTTTACCTGAACATTTTCAGAAGATTTTAATGATTTATTTGTTTTTAAAACTGACCTTTGAAAGTAGCTAACTCAGACAACTTTGCAAAGAACTGATTTTAAATGGCATCTTTAGGCACTGTTAATGACTCGCTGTTGCAAAACTGCAAAGATAAAACGGTTTGACAGTGCAATAAAAAAAGAAAACAAAATATTAAAAAATGTTCACTGAGAATTTTCATTCCCAAAGATCTATTAGCCAAATATTTAGCACTCACACAATTTAGCACTGTTATGTGTCTGTCAAAAAAGTGTAGGATAAAAGATGGACTGTATCTCAAAGTCATGTATTTAAGAAACAGGAAGAAAAAAAAATCTCAGTATGAGTCTACTGTTCTCCAAAATCTCATCAGAGGTGATTTAAGTAGAAGTGCTGCTCTCAAGAAGTCACACTTAAGGAACTGAAACACGGACCAAACAGGGAACAAACCAAATGACACAAGAAGTGGACTGAAAATCAGTGGAAGCAGGTCTTATGGAGTAATGAGTCCAAACTTGGAATATTTGATTTGAAATATTGGCAGTATATTAAAAAAATGGAGGAGAAAGGTGCATTTCAGTGATGTTGGAATGTTTGCAAAAGTGATGCAATTGTGAACATTGTAAAGTACCATCAAATTTTTAACCACCATGCAGTGCCATTTAAAAAAACAACAACAACATCTGAATGTCAATCTCTTCCTTTTTAACATGACAATGATCTCAAGGAGACTACCGATGCATAAAAGCATACCTGGATAAAAAACACACAGTGAAACACTATCAGTCTTGGATTGCAATCCCCAGAACTCGGACCTCAACATTATTGAAGCAGCATGTGCCTGACAGACGACGAAGAAGCCTGGAGAGCTAAGACTTACTCCTGGAGACTTACTTACAAAGTTACAAGAAAGATGTAACGGTGGTCATACCAAATCTTGACTCTCAAGCTCATTTGAAATGTTAAGACTCTGTTTTCACCTCATATACTGTATTTTCATGCATGCTTGCATGTGTTTCAGAAAATCGCTGCAACTATTTCCTGTTTTCCAAGCAAAATATAAAGAAATAAGGGGTGGCTCAAGACGAGGGGTGTCCTGTAGGTTTTAGACGTCAACCTAGGTCAACACACCTGAATCAAATGATTAGTTAATCCAGGCCTCCAGAACTTCAAGACATGTTGAAGAGGTAATTTAGCCAGTTAAATCAGCTGTGTTGCATCAAGGACACATCTAAAACCTGCAGGACACCGGCCCTTGAGGCCTGGAGTTGGACACCTCTGCTCTAGACCTTTGTACATTATTCTTCATTGACAGTTTTCAGAACAAACAAATAAAGAGAAAAAGAAAAAAAAGTACAATTTGTACGTTTATTGGATCCTAATATACCTTACAAGCCTTTTAAGACTGACAGAAAATGAAAAACAGCGTGCCTATTTTTATTTGTACTGTAAACTATGTTTGACAAGTACAGAAGGGAAAATATCTGCTCATATATTATTTTAATCCAGGAATAAATACAAAGAAGAACTCGCAGCTGTTCTTTAACGTGACTGACTTAAGCTATTAGCAAATTTTTGCCTTTATCCATCTTCACCTCCTATAGGCCTTCCAGTAGCCTTTTCACTGAACAAATCACACCAGACACACTACAGATGACCCCCAGACTCAGAATACCCACATCTATCAGTCGGTCCTTCACAGTAAGGCGGCTCCACTGCAGTCTAAGGTGAAATAAACACGGCAGTATGAGTGTCATTGCCGCCCCGGTCACGCTTCCTGTCAGACCCATCAACAGGGAGAACCTGGGCACCAGCAAAGCCAGCAAGTATGATGTCATCAACAAGGTGCCGCGGACCACAAGTGCAGGACGAGATACAGCTTGACCTCGGTGTTTGGAGTAAGACGACATGGCAGCATCTGAAGGGATTAAACCAGAGAAGTTGAAAAGATATACAGTGGTAACTGGTAACTGGTTTATATTCACTATCAAAGAAGCTTTTGTTGTTTGGTCTTTCAATTTATGGATCACTGAACAAGTGGGTGTTACTCAACCACAGCCATTAGATTTGGTTGGATTACAGTTGGGGTTGCGAACCATCCTACTCTGACTCATTGTTTTCCACCTGCACCTGCATGTTGACTTTAATTACTAAATGACTGGAAACTGTTAGCCATGCATCATTACATCATCATTGAGTAGTGTGATGACTACATAACTGTTGACAGTCAACTATGAAAGGTTTAGCTATGGTGACCCATCACCAGTATGTTGACAGTTGGCACGTGTTGTAGGTTACTTTTAGCCTAATTTGTAGGGTTTTCCTTATTAAATTTGACTTACTGTAATTTTTTTCTTACTTCAAATGGTTACACTAATATCATTAGTGAAACACTCTCTGTTAGTCATGTGTTCAATCGTGGCTGAACGTATTGGAAGTATTTTTAGCTATTCACTGTCTGATCATATTTCTCACAGCATCAAAATGCACTAAGCCTTTAAATACATCTGCTGACACTGTTTAGTCACTGTAACTGCTTCTATTTCCTAAAAGGCTGTCATATTGATTTACCAAAACTGCCTTCTTGGGAATCATAGTTTTACTTGATATAGACTCTTTTGACAGTAGGCATTTTGAAGTGCCATTACAGGGTAAACAAAGGTGTATTTACTAACAGCAGCACTGTGTAGTACTGTTTCATTGAGACAATCCAGTGTTCTGGTTTTGTGCATGCTAGCTCACTGGAATGGCTTTGACACTCCAAACAGAACAGGCTGTTATTAATTAAATCCACATTTAACCCGCTATTATCATACGAAAATGGCCTCTGTTAAATGGCCCCATGTGGGAAGCAAGGTGGACACCAACTACAGGCATGGGTGGCTAAAAAGCCATCTCAGCTGGGTGCTCATAAATTGTCTTAGGCAGACTTGGTTTAAAGGGTTTATAGAAACAGGTTGCTATTTTTGACATCTGGGCTAATGTAGTCTTTCGTTCAAGAGTAACCTCACAGCATGAGGTGAAATACGACTGATCTGTATTTACTGGCATTTGAAAGGGTAAGCGTTAAGTTTGAGCTTGTCTTTTATGGGCCAAAATATCTGGAAGAAATCACAGCTTGATAAAGCAACATGTGACCTGCATGCTCTGCAGACTTTACAGTGGATTTATGGTTCCTTGTTAGCTCCCAAGCATGCTTTTTTTAAATTAAAAAAGGCTAAACTAGGCTAAACCTAAGGACCAACACCCCCACATATATTTGACACTACCTCCTGGTGACAAACAGACATCCACAACATGTAAACGTGGGTCTGCAAAGCCCAGTGTGCCACCTGCAGACTACCAGAGCACTACTGCCTTTAATCGCAGTAGCTTATGAACATTTGAACATCTTTTTAATTTCAGTGACCCACTGTTAGTTTTAGTATGTACCGAGACAGCACTAGGGGTTATGTTTGGGTTTTCTTTTGGTTTTACCTCTGAGCACACATGTTTGCAGTATTTCAGCAGCAGCATAGAATGGCAGAGGGTAGGACAGTTGGGCTTTAGCCAGCAGGCACAAATTGACTAGAGGTCGTAGGTCAGAGGGTAGATTGTCTGTGATGACCTCACTGGTTTCTGGTCCCCAGGTTAACACCGCCTAATGGAGGAAGAAAACAATCAGCCAGTCTGTTTGTCAACTTATCAGTTATATCAAACCTTAATTGCGAGATACAATTTCTGCTCTGTTTAAACGTGCATGTGTATTAACAGCAAAATAATAAGAATGAAAAGCTTTAAGCAAGGGAAGTGCTACTGCAAACTCACATGCTAATGTTACAAACTTAAAAACCCACTTTTGACCATCATTTAACTGAAGCTTGTTAGCCTGTGCAATCATATGTTTTCCAAGTTGTCACTAACCATTAGGGAAAACATAGTTTTCATGATGCAAGCTGCTCCATGGGTCCACCCCAGCATGACATTAAACTGTCCCCTGTCTTCCATACTACCCTCTAGAGGAGGGAGGAAGATCTGCGAGGTATAGGAGAAGATGATGACACCGACGGAAACGAGGAAGTCCTCTGGATCCACAGAGAGAGACAGAGAGGACCAAGACCAGCTGCTGGCGCAACTCAAACAGTACAGCATGACCAATAGGCTGTGAGTGAGACAAAATAAAAGCTAATGAGAACTGATTAATTAAAAATTTATCAGCACAGTGATAAACACACACAACAATGTGGGGCGCAAAAATCCTAATTACGCCGAGAGGAAGAACAAAGTGATGAACTGCAGAAAAAAAAACACAACAAATAAAGGCAGAAATTATTAACGGGGTAATAAATTAAACTCTCTGAAGAAGACAGTTTAATCAAAGTCTATCAGCAACATCTTAAACTATTTTAGCCCACTACACAAATGAAAAAAACACTAATAATTGTACCGGATGACACTTTAGAAATGCATTAATTTTAAGAAAGTACATGTAATAGTATGAGAATAGTTTAATTTACAGATTTACCATAAATCACTAAACTGAATTCAACACACTGTACTGTAGCTTGATACAAATGAGTCATACTAACTGATGTCATCATATCTTATTCATACAGTCTACCTAATAAAAAAAATGGATATATTGATGTTGATATTCAACCAGTTACACCAAAGCACTTTATGATTACATGGTTTTAATTACACGATGAATTAATCTAACCAGCACTGCCAAAGAGTGGAGTGAAAACCCAGGCTTTACAATTTCTGTTTTTCATGAACTGAAAGTCAAAGTGTGTGCTTTAAAAGATCAGACAGCTGTAAGAACCCTGGCAGCTCATAGACGCAACTCCGTGCTTCTTTTCTCATGCAAGACACCTGGTGTTAGAAATAAATCAAACAAGCAGGAACAGCGGCGTGTAGCAGGTGAGAGCAGACGACTTAAACAGCAGCAGCTGCACCGCGATCACACGAGCGAGAATGAGAGAGCAATTTAGACAGCGCGCCTTCCTCTCTTGATTTAAAATGATTGGTGAGTTTTTAAGGCGATCAGGTCAGCCAGTACAAATTTGCTGGAGTGTTGGGACAAATGAGTTGCTTCTTTTATTCTGTCACCTGATAAGTATGTGAGCCAGGGAACAGAGGAGGCTGAGAGTGGAAACTGGTCTGAGATCAGTCAGAAGCAGACAGGGCAGAAGAAACACCAGAGACACGAGTGAACACACTGATCGAGGAACAGCCACCCAGGACAAACTGTCAAACAACAGGCTTGTAGAGACGAGTAGATAGAGGGTACAGGTCATCAAAAGTTCAATGACCTGAAAGACAGCACAGATGTATATTTTTACTTCATATATTTACTGTATATTGTAGGAAAGTAAATAAATGGCCTTTTTCTGGATACACATATAATATTAGTGCATCTTAAATATTGTTAGATTTTGAGTTATCTAAAAGTTAAGTCGTTTCAGGTTTTTTTCAGTGTAGAATGATGTAATTTCACTATCTTCTAGTGCAACTCAGTTTGAATAAAGATTCTTTTTGAATTCTCTCAAAAGTGACAATATTTTAAGACTCTGCCACAAACTTAGAAGATTGTTTGATTGTTTCATCTGCTTTAAAGAAAAGTTTCGAGTTCATACGTTATATTGCAGAGCAAAAAGAAAAAAAAGGAAAATAAAGTACTGTGTTACAGTTGAAGGCGTGTTACCTGAGCTACATTTACCATCAGACCTCCAACTCCAGACCAATTCGGCCACAGTCCTTTGCAGCAGGCCTCCATAATGTCCTGATAGCTGGTTCGGACCCGGACCTTTGAAACTGACCCAGACCCACCACTGAAATATACCAAAAACAACTATTTAACAGAACTAGTAATGGCCTCATTACTTTGTTAAAATGCTTGTGCATTTGGTAAATGTAACAGTTCCCTTAAGTATCTCAATAAAACGAGACACTTAAGGTTACTTTTAGTAACGGGCTCACAACAGGCACTGTCATATTGATATTGATAACAATGTGAAAGAAACTCTACCTCATTTCTTCTTCATATAAACAGGACACCAGGGTTCTTCCTGTGTGGTTACAGACCCACGCTGAAAGAACCAACAGGACCAGACCCACATAACCTGACTGCACCAGGGCGAAGGGCAAACCCAGCACAAAGATACCCTTTGAGAAAAGAAAAAGTGCATTTAAAAAAATGTAGGTTTACGAGTAGGCTAAGAAAAGCTCGAAATGACAGACGAATCAAAAACAGCTTAGATGTTCATGTAAGATCATGTAAGGGTGAAATTTCTGGCTTAATCTGCATGTCGTTACTTCATCTTTGAAGGGAGAAATTTACTCAAAATAAAACAAACTTTGATGGTGGGTTTTGTTTCTGTTTTTCAGTGTATAAATTGTGCATAGTCACACATCACAGATGCACATTTTCAGTGAAAGTTCAGGCCAAAATCAAATTTGCACATTTTAAAGATCATCTTAAATGAAACCGCTCACATCAGGAGGTTTTTTTTAATACATGTGAATTCTACCAAGCTAGATAATTCAGAAATAAACAACCTAGATCGATAAAGTACACTACAACCCAGAGGGTAATTTCTTCTTTGTGTGCACACAAAGCTAAATTATAGACAGAAAGAAGGTGGGGGAATATCATTATCTTAGAAAATAATCCACCTTGAGATGACTGTTCTCATGAGATGGTACCATAAAAATAAAATTCCATTAAAAAATGTAATTGAAAGGTTTGATATTATTATAAAGAATATATCAGCATTACTGAAATTCATGCAATAATCATCATCATGAGACCCCAAAGACAAGAAATCTTAGTCAAAGTTAGATTAGGATCGTGCATACATACGTTAAAATATTTTTTTTAAATGTGAAAATTCACAACCTAAAGTGGAAACTGAAGAGCAAAGGATGGCTGAGGAGAAGAGCGAGAGCAAAGAGATGAAAGGACTCTTCATGGTTGGATGATGAGGAGGCGAGAGAAGAGTTTTGGCTGGATGCCTGGAGAGTCTGAGGATGCAGGAGACCAGCAGGAGCAGAAGGAAGAGTAGAGTCGAGCTTTGGCCCATCACCAAGGGAAAATGTAAGTCACTGCCAGAGAGGGAAGATGGAGGAGAGGGAATGGAGGTGAAAGTGGGAGGTGAGGAAAAGAAAAGAAAAAACAGGGAGACTAGGGAGGAGGAGAAAGACACAGACAGGAGAGAAGGTTGGAAGGAGAGGTGCAGCCTCAGCGCCAGAGAGCATGAGGTTGGATGATGGGAGATCAGAGGAGACAACAAGCTACTTTGATGGAGTTGCTGTGTTTTGAATGTTGGAACACGGAGATATGCAGACTCACTGAAAGAGTTGTGGAAGCACATCACAGAGCAGACATAAGCACACACTGTGGATGCATAAACAGACAGAGACACATTCTCTCTCTTTCAAGTTGCTATTTTGTAACTGGTGACTGTTAGGCATATGCTGATAGAGCTTTGATGTTCAAATGGAGCTGCTGGGGATGAAAGCAGTTTGAGAGGAATCTGACGCTCAAGTATTTGATTTCATCTCCCCGCCGCTCTCACTGCACTTCTGTTTCTCTGTGTTTTTGCCAGCTAATTCCTAATTGGTTACTCTGAGTACAACCAAAAGCAGCTTCCAATCACAAAGGGGTACACAATAAAGGAAGAAACAAATCCCTGATTGGCTCGAGAGAAGCTGTAGAAGAAGTTTTACCCCTACCCCCTTTTATTCTGCCACAATATGACAACTCTAGTATCTTCTATTTACCCAATACTACCTTTATACTCTTTCATATCTTACACAGGAAGCATTGGCAAAACAGTGAGAGTTCTTTGGCATTACATGCTAATAGAATAAAGTTTATTGCACATTCACTGCACCATGCCTGGACTTCTGAGTTAGATTTCAGCTCCTGCCCCTCAGGTCATGGCCAGTATTTTATGCATGGACATGCCTAGTTGGCAAAAAGTGACAGAGAAATGTCTTATTTTCTGCCATGGGGGGATTAGATGATGCTGAAACAGGCAGGTTTGACATTTAAATAACTGAAAGTGACTTTTTTTTAAAACCAGGAACAAAGAACTGTTCTCAAGTTCAATCAAACCTGCATTAGAAAAATCAATAAAACAACAAATGGATGTGCCTAATTCATGCATTTGCTGTTTTTCTCTTTTCACTTTATTAGGAACAGGGAGATGCTCATTGAATCTAATGACACGGCATATGCAACTCGATGGATTTAGGCATGAAGAAGTTGTCAAGATTATCTGTGGACATTTAAATCAAGCCTTTAAATAAGCACGAAAGGTGATTTGAAGTGATATGTAATGTCAGATGGTTGTTGGTGTCTGAGTATGACCCGTCTGGTTTGAGCTGACAAGAAAGCAACAGCAATTTGTTATTCATTTGTTGCAACCAACGTATGCAGAAGAGTGTCTCTGAATCCACAATACATCGAACCTTCAAGCGGGCAGGCTACGGCAGCGGAAGACCACACCATGTGCAAATCCGGTTGGTTGAGAAGATTAAACTGAGGCTAAAATTCACATGGGGCTACAAAATTGGTCATTGGTCTAATGAGTCACAATTTCTGTTGTGGCGTTGGTATATATAGAATTGAATACATTGAATATAATTAGAATTTGGTACAAATAACATGGGTGGTTGTATTTTAATGGTGTAGGTAGTACTTTCTTGGCACTCTTAGGCCCTTTAGTAGTTTAAATACTATAGACTACCTGAGTGTTGTTGCTGACCATGTCCATCTCACTATGCAAAGCATGATGGCTGCTTACAGCAGGATAACGCATCATGTTACAAAGCTCAAATCATCTCAAAGTGATGTTTCAGGTTTTTTCTCAGCATGACAATAAGCTCACTGTACTAAAATAGCCCCCACAGTCACCATATCTTAATCCAACAGAGCACCTCAGGGATGTGGTGGAGTGCGAGATTGACATGGATGTGCAGCTGACAAATATGCCGCAACTGCGTGATGCTATCATGTCAGTATTGACTAATGAACTAAAATGCCTGAGGAGCATTTCCAGCAGCTGAAGACAAAAGGGGGTCAAATCTAATACTAGCAAGGTGTACCTAATAAAGTGACTGGTGAATATATGTATTATTATATTATCATATATTTCTTTAGCAAAGACTTATGAGTTGGTAAGTTCACTAGTTTAAGATGGCTTGATGTTCATATTTTTCAGTTATGGTTCTTTTTAGAGTAAATCACGATATATCTAGACTGAAAAACATATTCTGATTTATAGAGTATCTATATTGTAACTGAAAAGTCTCATGAGCGTGTAGTGTTGCTCAGTGAGTTCGTTGTCATGTTGTAGACAGAAGTTTATAGAGTGTCTGCATACGATTAGCCTATTCATCGGTAAACAATCAGCTATAGTCGTTATTTTTGATTGATCATTTCACTGATCGTTTAAAACTTGAAATGTAAAAATCTGATGCAATTAGTTCATTAAGAGCATTTTTTTAAATGGGGCGAATGAAAAACAGACATTCAGTTTGTAGCATCCCAATAAGTTTTTAGTCTAAGCAAAGCAAAAGAATAAAGGAACAGATCCTCCTTTTCTCAACCATCTTTCCAAAACAGAACGAGTACATTTATTCCCCTCTGGCTTCTGTTTAGATCAGAAAATCACGACGACTTAAATTTTTCAGTGTGGCTTAAAGTAAAATATCACTTGTAAACAGAAAGCATGTCAGTCGCAGCCATTCTTATTCTCAATAACATAAGGTCCATATCTCTAATTTGAAACAAAGACACACAAACTGGAGCTGCCTCATTAACAATCAGATTGGAAATCAAACTGAGTTTCATTATTCCCATGTCAGGAGCCTTGAGAGCTGGAGCTGGTTTTTGCATTTTGGCAGCAAATTTACTTTCTAATAAAAACTTTATTAAGCTGGCAGACAGTCAATTATATTGGCATCAATAAACCACCACAGGAAAGTACATATTTTCTTTTTAGCCTTGATAGGAGATAAAAGTGCTGTTCTTTTCCCATTATTTAGACATTTGTTAGCCAAACATCAGATCTGTGATTAATGCCATAATATTTCTTTACACACCACAGATATCCTTTGTCTTTGATCGCTGCCATGTGATTGTTCGTCGCTGTTCGATATTTTAGTATCGAGTGAATATTAAACCATAACCTGACCGTCTGTAACCTCAAGTGAAAGCATTACTGAGCAGTTCATTTAGTCAAGGTCGCTGATTGAGACAGAGGGCTGCAGGTAATGAACAACCTATAAAACATTAACCAATCCAACAACCCTGGAAAGTGTTTGTGCTGAGGTAAAAACACGCTACATGAAAAGTATTCAGATCACACTGGGGTTTGGAGCTAAAATAAATAGCTGGGAGCATTTAAAAAGCCATAGCTTTAAATAAGCAATTTTAATCAGTAATACAGTATATATCACAAGCTGAATTTTCACTGGAGACCAGGATTCTGTGGCTTGCTTGGCACAGAAACTGAGTCTCTAAGGAAAACTGGAATAAAAAAAAATCTGGCACTCAGATATAGACTGCCGTAAACAAACCAAGCACATAAAATACTTCTCTACTAAAAATCATGTGCTAGAATATGTGTTATGTGCTTATACAATGGGGTTAACAGTAAGGGTTTCGAGCAATCGAACACAAAAGCATCTGATGCAAATTTACCTCCGCTCCCGAAGGAACATGTTTGCATCTTAATTAGTCAGCATTTATCTGCATATGACTGTGTATGGATGCATACACAGTATTCATACCCTAATGTCATAAAGCATTCTCTATGGCTCCGGTGACACTGTTCAATTACACCAGAGTTATTCAGTTAAAACACACGTGCACACACACGCATTTACGTGAATGCAGTGGTTGAATAGAGCCCAGCATTTAGAGCAAGAGAAGCTATTAGCATTACTGCCACGAGGACACGCTGTGACCGGGGAACTGTCATTTTTTTAAAAACGATTTTATTCACACTTAATTTAATTATCAAGGCTCGCGAGTGCCTGACAAACAGCCTGCAAGACAAAAGAAAGCATTGTTCAGTAATATAAAAACACAAAAGGAGTAAATGAAATAGGCTGCTTCATGCTTTTTGAATGACGTGTGCAGCTTAACACCTTCACAGTTGGCATTTCGAGTTGTCATTTTTCAGAGGAAAAATAGATGTGGTGCATTTTCAGCTGCACTTAACAAAAGATGTGTTATCAGAAGACAAACATGAGGGCTTTCTTTAAAGTCCTGTTTGAATGCTGCCGCTTTAAACGCTGAAACACTGACTCAAAAATCTGAATTGAGTAAAAGCACTCAATAACTGGATTAAATAACTTTGACTAATGTCTTTTCATAACTGGATAAGTCATACTAGCAACATGCTGAGTTATTGCATTCATTTGGCAGGGAACAAATCAAGGATTGTGTGTCTGTAGCTGTAGGAAAGGTTGATTGGCATGATACAGGTGCGTGAAAGTTATAAAAGTGGAAGTCTGAAAAATGTGCTGCATTGTAATGACCTAAATTATCTGTATTGCTGCTTTACTGCTTTTTTTTTTAATCACTTACATGAGGTATGGCATCATGAACTTCTAAAGCAGGGCATAAGAACTGTTATATTTTCTTTTAGGAAAAGCATTTTAACCATGCATGTGTGTATTAGTGTACCTGTATAGCATTGGTGATGTTCCAGCCAGCCTCCCAGGCTGTGATGGTGGGAGAGGGGTTCAGACCCAGGCTGCAGGTTTCAGGGCTCTGAACTGAAGTAACCAAACTCATGCTCCCACTCTGTTTTTCAAGGCGTGTACAGAGCTGAGACGTCCCTTCTACGGGTTTCTCCCCCTCTTGAATCTTCTCTACATCTCCTGAAACTCTCCATTTTACCACTTTCCCTCTAGGAAGCCCAGATGGTCTGATGGACTTCTTCTTGTTCCCCCGGTTTTGGCTGGAACCTTGATTCTCCCAACTCTCGCTTCCCATCTTTTCACCTCGCATCTCAGATAATCTTTTTTCTTTTTCATTGCTTCTGCTATTTTCCAAACAAAAGGGCTCTTCAGTAGAGACAGCGGAAGTTATGGTGAAGGTCTTGGTTCCAGTGGAGATTACAGTAGCCCTGGTTTCTTTAAAGGCTGGGCTTTCCCATCCTAAGGGGCTGGTGGCTCCGTTATGAGCTGCTATAGAGGGCTCATCTTTGCGTCTGTCTTCTCTTGATGACGGTCTGCTGTTTATTCTGTCATCAAAATGTGGATTAATATTGCTTGTGATGTTGTTAAAGGCTGATCTGTTGTCCTCACAGTAACTTCGGTTTAACTCATCACTCTGGGTCAAAACCAGCATCTCTTCATCTCCTTGAAAGAACCTGTAAATCAAAACCTCCTTTGAGAGCTCATGATTCCTCCCCCATCTTTCATTTTACAAAGAACTTCTAAATAATTTTTACTCCTCCAGAGGTTCCACACATATTCAGACAGATAACAAAATAGGAAAAATATCAAGAAGTATGAAAATAAATCTCAAACCGTCAATAAAGTTATATCAGTTGTGAGAAAATGAATCTGTAAAAGTTCACGAAAGTTATGTTATTATATGTATAACATTACTGTAAAAATATAGTTCATTTTTAAAGTGAATTTATATAAATAAATATATCTCATGATGTCACTAACCTTGTTGTTCGGTCCAGGTGCAGCCTCGACATAGCCCATCCCCACAGAGACCCAGCAGCACTCCAGGGCTGCTCAGGCCCACGAGCCCAGTGAAGAGAGCCCATCTTCAGCCTTCGTGTCTGCAGAGTAAGCCTCTCTGTCTTTGGAGGTCTTAGCCTCCGGGGGAGCTTAACTCACACTGGACACATAAACAAGCCCAAACAAAAATTCTCACCCAAACACACACAAATACAGGAGTAACATATTCACTCAAATTAGCACATCTGTGTAAGTACTCAGAGTCACAGGTGTGTGAATTGACTGACAGGTTGATGAGCTGTAACATTATAATATGCCAGTGCTTTCAGCGGGGAAGAAGTAAACAGCTCTAATGGCCCTGAGTACACTCAGGGAGTGGAGGCCATTGTAAACAAGTAAACAAGAAACACCCTGAATTCCCGTAGACAACCCTACACCACTACATTTACATTTATCTTACTGCTGCCAAACAGCAGTAAGATAAAGTAATTTATTCTATCCTAATTTATCCTTTATGTTTATAACATTGTATTTGAAAATTGCTTTAATTCCACCCTTAGTCTAATCCTTCTTTTAACCCAACATATGGAGGTACCAACACCTCTAGTTACCAAATATCGTACATCTTTAACTTTAATGTGCAGGTCATGTGTATGTATCACCGTCTCTGATTGTTTCAACAGATGGAGCTTCGTGTTGTTTCACATCTCACTTCATTCTTTAAACTACAAGCATTTTTTTTTAACTTAAAACTTTTTTTTGTCCACAAATAAGTAAAATTGTAAAATAAACTGATAACAGTACATGGCTTCCCCTTATTTAAAGTCTCTCCAGTTTATCTGTGATTTAATGTTGTTTTGCCCCAGAGTGTGGTAAGTTTTATGGGGCAGCAGGAGGAGCCATAGAACAGTAGAGCACATCTGGACACGTGTGGACCAGAACTTCTGGCTTTTCTGGTACTGTCTGTGAACCACTACTTTTCAAACTTTTCCCTCTGCTTCTCCTCTTCTCAGAACTGATGTAACACTTCACTGGCTTTGTAGCATCTGTCTGAGTGTTCTTGTCTTGAAGAACACATTTTGGTTACAAGACCGCTCATTTGGATGTAGTGTTGTTGTTTTTTTCACCTGCATCTCCCTAGGAAGGTTTCATATTCCATTCCCATCTCCCCCACCCTTGCTCCCGCCACAACTTTTAGAGAGGAGGAGAAACGAGAGGAAGAGGAGGAGGAGAAGAAAAAGAAGAAGAAGAGAGAGTTTGGATCAACTTCTGTTAAAACTTTTCTGGCGTTTAACTCAACATTGAGCCGCGCGAGAGGACGCCGCGGACCCCACATCGCGCGCGCGGCAGGCTACACCATTGCAACTCAGACAGGACAAAATGAAGTTGCTTCTGCTCGTACTTACGACCGCGTTGCTATGGCAACACTGCCAAGCCCAGCAGAGGGGTAAGTCATCAGCGACTGATAGATAATCGATACGCCGATACCCGGCGCTCTCTGCTGGAGTTCTTTACACAGAACCCCCAGAGCTCATTCGGCTGTGGCTGTTTCAGCGTGTCCCTTAATGAACCACTCAGTCAGTAATTAGCTACACCTTTTAACTTCCGGCTATCAGTTCAGTATATTTTGTATCGGTTTAGTTGCGAAGAAGCCTGCCTTTACTGGCTGCAGCTTTACTTTGTTTTCAATAAACAAAAGGGAGGGGAAAGTGTGTGAAAATCATTCAAAGCCTATTTAAACACGTTTGTCAATGAGCACAGCCGTCTGCTTTAGCCCTAAGTTAATACTAGCACTTGATGAAAAGATGTTTATGGTGGGATTTATGCCCGCTTTGTCTCTTGAATCTGATATTGAAAAAAAAAAAAGAGAAACACAAGTTTAATGGGTCAGAGACTTACTGGTGGATTTCGTATTATTTTTAGCCACATAAATCAAATTAAGTGCTTGACCTTAAACATAATTGACCCTGGCTTAGCTGTACTGTTATGTGTTAGACAGATGTCACTTGGCTTGCTCTTTTGCAGTTACTGCTGCAAAACAGCATACACTGAGTTTATGATGATCCATGTCACTGAGTTTCACAAAATACAGCCTTCCTAGTATAGAGTCCTTCTTTTTCTTTCATAAAGTTTATGTTCCACCTACTGCAACATCATCAGAAACTTATTTATTTATTTTCAATCAAAAGTCACATTTCTTTGGTCTCCTGTCACTGTAAATATAGACAATGTGTATATAGGCAATACTTTGTAGATGCACAAAGTGACACATTTACATCTAAGCACACAAATACAAGACCTACGCATCCGTAGCAACGCGTAACATATGTGCACTATTAAAAGTAATGTCTCTTTTCTTCTTTTTTTCTATTCTGTAACTCACCTCCAGCCCCAGCTTTAAGGGCTCTTAGCAAGTTACAGCATTAGGCAGGGCCGGTTGACCTCACCTGGGAAAACCAGCAGTTTCTAGTTTACTTATTCACACTTCAGGGGCAAAAAATAGTACTGTTTGGTCAAAGCCACTGGGATCTCATAGAAAACATTGACAAAGTCTGGAAAGTAAGGCTAGTAGCGCTTTCACCCAGGAGACGGCGGTTTATGTCCTGCTTTTTTCTAATTCTAATTTTCACTTCCTTCAAAAAAATGAATGAATGTACTAAAAAGCCATGCTAGTTTTTATTTCACATATTGATTTTGCAGTATGACTTTAATATTTTGTCAGAAAACCCAATATAACAGAGATTAATTCAATACCATTACAACTTTACGATTAGAAAAATCATCTCTAAATCTTTTTAAAACATTATGTGTTTGCAGAACCAATGCTCTTAATACAGTACTAAAAAAATAATTTTTTTGAACATTTTTGGTGATATAAAGATTGTCCTAAATAATAGGAAACTGATGCTAACATTTTTTAAACAAACAAAAAACTAAACAATCTGCATCTGTGGACACCAAAAAAAAAAATCTAATAGTCTAATAGAAGTAAGAATTAAATTTTTAATTAGAAGTGCCCTGAAATGCACTCGAGAAAGAAATACTGCTCTTTTTTACTTGGTATGTGTGCAAGGCTATGAAAGATTAATTCATTTAATGTGTGTGTGTGTGTGTGTGTGTGTGTGTGTGTGTGTGTGTGTGTGTGTGTGTGTGTGTGTGTTAGGGCCCTGACACAGTCAACAATGAAAAATGAGCAACGAAGCCTTGAGCAGAGATGGGGATTGACAGCTGAGACAAAACCAACATAACATGGTGCACAAGAAGAGTCAAAATATTCACGCAAGCAGTGCTTCTAAGAGTTGTTAAGCAAATTATCTCACAGATCCACAAAATGCATTAAAACTGGATTGGAAAAGATGAAATAGTTGCATCCTGTGCAGGGAGCTGATCAGTCAGGTGTTTGAACATGAGTGCGTGCAGAAGTTCTTTGCATGTGCATGTTTTTTTCAGTATGAGGTGATGGTGACTGTTGCTCGAAAGATGAAGCAAATGTATTGCCAGTCATGCTTTTTTCTATTTATCCTCTTCAAACCATCTCCAACTAGTCTGTAAACCTGGAGTGCTCTGGACCTCCCGCAGAGAAGAGGATGGGGACTGCCATCAGGATGTATGTGTTTCTGTATATTGTTTGTGTGCGAGAGATGGAAAATGAGTGAGCTGAAGAGGGTGGAAGAGGCCATCTGCTTAAGAAGCCTCATTACCAGGCGTGTCAACCAGGCATGCTCTCCATCAGCGACAAAGCTCAGAGAGACACTAGGAGATAATCAGAAAGAGAAGAGAAGGAGGAGGCAAGCTGAAAGAGAGAGGAAGGGGGATCTGTTTAAGAGTTGTTAAGAACTAGAAGAGGGATAGAGAGTGGACTGATGAAACAGGTAGACAGAAGGTTCAGAGGATATAAGACAGAGGATGAGGTTGAAGTATAGATGTTCAGCAAGGAAACCAAACTACACTAGCAACTAAACAACAACAGCTTGATTGGAAAAGAAGATTTTGTCATTCTCCAATATTTATTTTTTGCCTGTGAGAGGGTAGAACTGAGATCATTTTTGTTGATCAGGAAATAATGGGTATTTTTTGGTCATAGTGGAAGTTCAAGTACATTTCCTGGAGAGTCTGGTGCAGAATACACCAGACCTTTCAGCTTCAGTGTGGAACATAAATAATGATTCGTTTTAACTGATGTATTCTCCTGATTCTTGTATCTGAAGAAAAAAATCTTTGCGCAGCTTTGAGGGCATATGAAAGGATTTGTCTGTGCTGTTCTCACTGGTTTGAAGTTGGGAGGGTGAGCTGGAAAATGTGATGCTCTACATTTCTCTTCATCGATAATGAGCTATCAATATTTGAATCTGAGGATTTTTTCTGTTTGTTTGTTTGTTTCTCTTAGTTGCCTCAGCATTGACTTTTGAGTGTTAAACACTTCGGGGTATTTTTCCCCCTTAAACTTGGATTCACTGTTGATTCATTATCTTTGCTTGTTGAAATTTTTTGAGACAATGTGAAATCGGGGTCTCACAGCCACCATTATTTGCTGATATTATATGGAGTGATTGAAATAATGAAAAAAGATCAACAGATTGATGAGAAAACACTGAGGTTTTGGCAAGTGATAATCAGTGAACATTATGTTGAGTACTAATGCCAATACATTGCTATTTGCAAAAACAGTATGCACTGGTCAGCCAAAACATGAAAAGTAGGTCTGT